AAGACAGAATATATTAGATTATTACAACAATTTATGAGGCAGCTAGTAAGTAGAGGAGCTTCTTTAAAAAAAAATCATAACACAACTTTCAACAGTTAATCTGTTTTGTATAAAAATTCTATGTACAACAACCCATAAGAGATATTATTAAGTTAGGCATTCTTTAGAAATTATATAAAGATAAAGGGGAAAGAAGTGTGCTAAGATGAGAAGGTGCCAGAGAAAAATTTAATTGTTTTTACCATTTCTCTATGGTTAGCCAATATTCAAAGGAGAAAGTACAACAAAGAGTACAGGGAAATATGTTTTAGTAAGAAAAATGTGTTTAATTTGCAATGTGTTATAGTAAAAAGGTTAACGACTTTAATATACGTATAAAGCTCTTCCACATCAATAAGAATAATAAATCAATAGAAAAATGGAAGGCATTCACAAAGAAGGAATACTTATGGCCAGCAAACCCATGGAAAATATAATTAATCTTTCTCATTAAGAATTTGTAAATTGAACAATAGAATGTGATACCTACTTTGACCCTCAAATTGACAAATATTAAAAGGAATAATGATACTATTGATAACATAATTTTAAAGATATAAAAATGTTCAATGTTTTTGAGCAGTAGGGAAACAGGGATTACACTTTGCTGGTAGGTGGATGAATTAAGCTACATTTATATATATAGATATTTAAGTAGAAATATAACAAATTAAAAATTATGATACAGACCATAGAATATATATAAAGCATCATATTATTTTGATACATAAGTAATTATAACAATATACATATACTTATAAATTATAATTATATAAAAATATTTATAATTATACATAAATCTATAGGAATTGACACCAAACTGATAATTGAGGTTATCTAAAGATACTGATTTGGCTAATTTGCCCCCTTTTTTTCTTTTTACTTATCTATGTTCTCTAATTTCTATAGTTAAGCCTGGATTACTGATGTAAATAAAATCAAGATTTTAGATAAATGAAGCAGTATCATAATTAAGAGGATGAACTCTGGAGTCAGACAAGCTTAGGTCACAGATGAGCTTAATTAAATTCCTTAAACTTCTTGGCCTTGGTTTCCTCACCTGTAAAATGGTGATAATAATAATACTTACATCAATGGGTTTTTGTGAGGATTAAATTAGTAACCTGCCATGTGTACTCATCAATTAATCAATTACAGAGTTCCTGCTGCTACATTACAAGGCAGTATAAGGTACTTGGGGAAGTACAAAGATGTTGGAGACTGTCTCTGCTCTGCAGGCAGTTAAATAGACAGACGCCACAAACTCCAACAAGAGCATGGCAAACAAAGGCTTCATAGTTCTATGACATACAAGGGAATCCCAAAACACACACACTTTAAAGATATTAAATGCCTATTAAACTAAGTTGGTCCTTTGAAGAAAAAGGTAACCTAAATGGGTGAATTTTATGCTATGTGAGTTATATCTCAATGAAGATGTTAAAAACATAATTATTTTAGTATTGATATTTACTGAAAGATGGTCTTAAGAGTATTTTAATACAAAATACTGTACACTGATACAGTACAGAAACTAAAATTGCATGGGAAACTTTCTGAACTAGCTGATTTGAATCGTGAGAAATTGAATCTGGTTCATAAAGTTATTGAATTGCTTGGAGACTTATTTTTAGTGTGTGATTAATAAAATCATGCCCACATAGGATTTGCAAACATTAAATACTATGACTAAAATAATGAATTTCTTAATTTTTTTCTGTAAACCATTGGGGGAAAAGAACTTTATTTGTTTGGGGGTAAAGGAAGCAGCAGCTCTTTCTTAATGTAACATCAATAATTTTTAAGGTCCAATTAAAATTTCACTTTCTCTAGAAAATTGCTTTTCTTGATCACTCTTGCTCTTACTAATAATAACAATTCTAGTTTCCATTTAATAAATACTTACTATGCTCCTGGGAATATGTCAAGTGATTCATGGACCTGATGAAACTTAATTTTGACCACAACCCAAGTGGTGAATGTTATCAGCTCCACTTAACAGATGAGGAGACTGCAATGGGTAAGTTGAGCAACTTGACTAGATCATATGGCCATTACGTGATTCAAAGCTGGAACTGGCCAAATTACAAACCTGTGGATACTACACCATACAAATCCTTCCTTGTATTAATGCCTTGTTCCATCTGTGAATGTTACAAATGAGCAAATCATGATAGATTGGAATCATGAGTCCTTTCTCAGAGTATTCCTAAACAAGAGCTGACAAGCTAAAACTATACTTCTGGCAGGAGACTCAAATTAGTTTTTTCAATAACAATATTGAAACTGTATTTTGTGGCACAATTATAGCAATTTATATTATGAAAGAAATTACCACTCTAAGAAGACACACTTAATTTCAAGAGTTGACTAGAATATATGAAAGGAAGATTTGAACATGAAATAGTTTAAATCACTAAGTGGTTGGATCATAGCTGTCATTGAGTCCAGATTCTTACATTTTGTGTTTAATTCATTCACTTATTTAATGGTTACTTATTGGGCACCTACTATGTGCCAGGTGCTGTTCCAGGCATTTGAGATGTATCAGAGGACATAACAGACAAACATTTCCCTGCCCTCAGGGAAAAATAAAAACAAACAAAGCCTGAT